GCAACTCCGTCCGTCCAAGAGCGCATCCACCCGTGCCGTCCACATGGTCCGTACCGATTGGATTACTCTGGCGGCTCTTCCGACGTACGCGGCGCTGCGCTGGCGCGGAAGGCGCCGTACACTTTCTACCTCACAAGGCGCATTTCTAGGGCCCAAGGCGGATTTTCCGCCGACGCCGGAGTGCCTGTGCACAGGCGAACGTCTGTGCGTAGGCGGACTTGCGCCTTCCCTAACCCTACTTCGCCTGTGCACAGGCGAAGGCCTTCGTCCGCGCATAGGACAAAACTTGATTCCCCCTTCCGCGTAGGCGGAATTCGCGCCGGTGGCGAACTCCTTCCGCCGTAGGCGACCGCCTCCGTTTCTTCCAATAGCGATAACTCCCTAAGTCCTCATCCGTTCCAAGCGTTCTTGGGCTCGTTGGAATCAGTGCGTCGAGCTCTTTCCAACGGAATCCTAACTTGGTCAAGGCGCCCGAGGGTTGACCTAATTATGGAGGGTTTCCCTACAGCCGCGGACGCAACCTCCGAAGGCGGGTTTTGCGCCTTGCGCCGTAGAGATCCTAACTGCAAAGCTCGCAGGGAGGACGGTGCCTGTCCTTACTGCTGCACCCCAAATCCCAGATTCTACAAGATCCCTCGAGAATCCCCGCGAGCTTCCGGATTCACTCTGTTTTGATGTACCGAAGGCTATTTACAATGCTGCCAGGGTACAGTTTTCCAAAAATGTTTTAATTTCCTCAAAATTGCCAAAAGTGGGGTACCACACCGAATCCTTGCAGAGGTAAGATTAATCTTAATTTTCTCTTCATGCAGGTCGCAAGAAGTGTCATGCCCAGCGGGCACAAGTTTTGACACTGCGACGGGAAGTTAATTTTTTTCGGGTGAGCCGATCCTTCGGATTGAGGAGGGGCTCCTGAAGCCCAGGTGACATTTGGCGCGCGCATGCCAAGCAGCAAACGTTTCTTAATCTCTGAGAGAGGAGGAGAGAAAGGAAGGTGCAGGTGCGTCCATCTTCAGTCACGCTGCTGAACTGGCGACACGGGAAATGGACTCCGCACACGAGGAACCGGAGCTTCCCTCCGCCATCCAGGACCTTGTATAGCGTCTGGAAGGACAAGGCGAGCCTATAACGGAGCTTCCCGATTTAACCAAGCTAGTATTTTGGGAGTTCTTTCCGCGGAGTGAAGCACCCTCGACAGTCATAGGGTGGCGAAGCCAAGTGCGTCGTCGAGTGCTGGAGGCAATCGGCAGCTGCAACACCTTTGAGATTCTGGACGTGGGCAATATTTGTGGGGGAAAAATATCGAGGTTGACGCCAAGCGAGTGGGAGGTAGTTCTCAGAGGTTTCAGGTCGAGCACCGTTCTAGAAAAGATAATCGTTCATGGGACATACCTGGGTAGATTTGCGGATGAGGAGAGCTTGTGTTTCCAGCTGGGGAGAATTCTGAATTCCTCTAGCGTAACAGAGTTACAAGTGCGTGACGAATTGAGTGCCAGATGTCTCTCGAATCTCGCCTCAGGTCTGCGAGGACGTTCCGATTCTAAACTCAAGTCTTTAGATTTATTGGTAGCGTGGGAGGACTCGAGTGGGGTGAAGTATGTGGCTGACATGATCAATAGTGCTCCTCTATTAGAAACGTTGCGTTTAGGCGTACGTTTAGGCGGCTGTTGGGAGTACATGGAGGACGAGACCGTTGGAATCCTGTCCCAGGCTTTGATCCAGAGCTTGGCTTTGAAAGAATTTACCTTAGACTGCGCGGGGAAGTTGGCAGGGCCCTTGTTGCTGAAAGCATTGGCCGGAGACGATCGCAACCGATCCATTGAACGTCTTCGGCTAAAGGATATGGATGGACTCGGAGACTGTTTAAGGGAACTTCTTATTTCCAACCCATCATTGAAGGAAGTGGAGCTCCACCCACTTCAGGTATGCTGTCGATGAATGGAAGAACTGGAGAAACTTGCGTCCTGAAGAGACTCCGATTAAGTGCTCTAAGCGAAGATGTTTGGAAGGGAGTATGGAAGGACCTGCTTTTGTGCCTGCGAGGGAACACAAGTCTCACTCACTTGGATTTGAGTGAGACCTGGCTGGACGAAGAGACGTTTAGGGACATGATGGGGCTACTCCAACAGAACTTGAGTCTCCAGGAAATAAATGTCTCAGAAACCTCATGGGCTACAGACGGAAAGGCGGCGCTGATTCAAGAGGCACTCAAGCAGAACGAGAAGCGGGCCGCCTACATGTCCGTATTTAGAGAAGCCGGATTAGCATTTGGAGATGCAAAAGCCGGTCGACTCTTTCTATGCGGCTCTCCTCTAGCAGGTAACGTGCTTTGGAACCTCTCAGCTTTTTGAACTAGCAATCTAAGGTTTTACTTCCCAAAAATTTATCCTATAGTAAAAAAAGTTCATTTTTCTCTCTACACATATTTGGAATAGTTCAAAAAGTTTCAAAGAATTGAAGAACAATTATTTTACCATCCTGATTAATTGAGATTATAAATAATATCTATTCAATCATTTCAAATTTTGATTTGATATTCAAATTTTTTACCAATACTTTTTATCCATTTGAAATAATAGTATCAAGTAATCTGTAGAAATATCTCAAGTTATATTTGTTGTGGTTATTTGTACTCAATTTGCAGGCAAGACACAATTGCGTCAAACCTTGATGAGGATAGTTGAAGGCAATAGTTGGCTTGGGAACAAATGGAAGGAGTTGTTTAGAACTAAAGGTATCGAAGTGGAGTATTTGCAAAACAATGACAAAAGGCAAATTTCAATCTGGGATCTTGCGGGGCAAGAGATTTTTCGTACCCTTCAAACTGTGCTCTTTCCTCAATCCAACAATTTTTGTGTTTTTTTATTTGTGTATAGCTCTTTTTGTGAGAACTCATTTTCTAAGAAAAAAGACTCTTGTTTTCAGACGGAGTTGGAGGAATGGATGAGTTTTATCACATCCAGCTCTAGGGTCACTGGACATAATCGTCCGCAAGTTCTTGTTGTGATTTCACACAAGGACAAAATCAAATCAAGCTCTTTGACTTGGGCTCACTCAATAGTGAAAGATGTCAATCAAAGATTTGCAAAATTTGTGGATCTTCATCCAATTCAAGAGTGTTTTCATGTGGATGCGAGAAAAAAGAAGCAAGTTATAGATCTCAAAGATTATATTTTTGAGATTTTTGACAAGTTGTTGAGTGAAAAATCCCCACGGGTTCCCCAATTGTGTTCCCAAATCTCTTTCCGCTTGGTTAAAAAAATCAAGAAGAACAGAAGTTGCCCTATTTGGTTACGTCAAAATTTTATTGAATTTTGTGATCCCATCTTGAAAGAGTTCATTTCATCCTCTTCAGCTTTTGCCAATGATCATTCAAGGATACTAAATTCGATAGTTTCTTATTTGAATGACGTTGGGTCCATAGTTTATATTCCAACCCTTAGTTACATCATTGTAGATCCAAACTGGCTCACTAATACACTATTGGGTGAGCTAGTAGCTCTAGGTCAAAAATTTCATGCTCAAGAGCACGAAAGTAAGTCGCATTCCTCATACTCCAGCAAGGACGGATTTGTGAGCGAGAGTGTCTTTGTTGGATTGATAGAGGAGTTTCTGGGAAAGCTACCGCATGGACAGAAAGGTGTGGACAGAGATGTGATTGAGAACATCCTTATCCATTTAGATTTGTGTTTCAAGGTGGAAGATACTTCTCAGTTTTATTTCATTCCCTCCTTCATACCTGAGCATGCAAGCATTGAAGTACAGAAGCCTCAAGAATTGGCGCACGTGAAGCCGAAGGCTTGGAAACGTAGGGTTGAGACTTCAAAGTTTGTCGGCATCCGGATTCAATGCCAAGATGGAAAAACAATGTCACTGACCGCTGCTTTTTTTCCACGCTTTGAGGTGATTTTAAAGATAGTGTTAGAAAATTGAATGCGTTGAGTTCTAATTGTAACTTGTGTTTGATGAATGGAGTGTTCTCTTTTCATTAGTAGAATTTAATTTTTGGCATGCGCAGCTTAACATTTACCAAATTCTGTATCATTGTAGATGTTCATGAGACGCAAGTTGATATGCGAGATGCATATTTCCAAGGAGACTGTGATCTGCTCTCGTCATTATATGAAACTTTACCTAGATGGGCACGAGATATATCTGGAGCAAGAAACGTCCCGCAATTACTTGGATGTTTTGATGTTATGCTCGGATCATAAATCAAGGGAGGCGGCGATTAAATACGTGATGAAGCATATCGTCCAGGAGTTGATATCATTTTGCGCATCATCGAAAGGTTGTCCCGGGGTGGCGTTAGTGCTTGGTGTGATCCAAACACGTTGCGTGGAGATGCTGATTCCGATTCATCTCAGAGGAGCCATTCTGATCGAGGAGCTCAAATCGGACTTCATTCGTGACATCAATGACAAACTTGAGTATAATCCGTCGAATAGGTTTCACTTGGTGAAGGAGGAAGAGTTGTTCAACTATGAGCACCCTTGGCCCCCGATTCGAGGGCACATAACAGAGGTTATACAAGAAAGAGCGAGGGAGTTGCTGTGGGAGAGCGATGTGGAAGAGATTGTGAATGAGACCATTCAGAAGCAAATGCAACCATTGGAGTCATTTCATCGAGACCACAGCCAACAATTGAGATCATTGCAGCAAGGTGTAAACGAAGTGAACAAAGATTTGATTCACTTTTACCCTGAAAATGAGAAAATGGTTACTATGAAAGACTCCAATCGACGTTCATCCAGTGGGGCGAGCACAAGTGAATTTTGTGAAATCCGACATGCTTTGGATGAAATCCGACATGCTTTGGGAAGGATTGAAAGAAAGGTTGATGGTGTTGATGAAAGGATAAGATTAGGTCTGCAGGGATTGCAGACGAAGATGGAAGAGATACTCTCTCTGCAGCAACAACTGCAGTCAACTATGAGTGATTTTGTGTCTAAAGTAGATAGGATTATCGGGTATACTCAATCGTTTCAGCAGACCAGAACCCCCAAGCGACATTACATTAGGTTAGATGTTAACATTTTGTATAGGATAAGTGCACATTTGCATGCCGGGAGAACCGTTAGATTACACTTGATGTGTGAGTCGGTGACTGAAATTCACATGGTCAAAGATCAAGAAGGTTTGAAGATACGCGTGGATCTGGATAATCGTGAGTGGATTAGCAAAACCATTGAAATTTCATACAAAGTCTTGTATTATACTGCAAAGGCTGGACTGAGTATGAAGTTTGGGTTGGGCCAAGCGATTCCGGACTGGGCAGATTTAAAATCTGATATTGTTAAACTAGATGGCATTAGCGATGGTGATCGTAGTGCAGTTGTAAAAGCTGGGGAAAGCAAGGAGCTGACACAAGCATGGTTGAGGATTCAGAAACTTCTTGGGGATATTAACTATGCGAAAATCTTCAAGTTGTATCAGGTGAAATACGAGGGAGTAGAATCAGGTGGGCATGCATGGGTGTGCGAGGAGTGCATGAAAGAAGGTATTAGAACTGGGATTTTGTCGGGAAATTGAAGAGGTTAGAATGTCATGATGCAAATGACAAGCATATGTTAAGACACTCATGCAATATGATCCTCTGCAAAATCTTCCTTCAGAGTTTTCACTTGTACAAGTCTTGTATAATCTATGCAATCATGTCAATCGCACATACATGTTTCTGAAGAAGTTCAGATTTTGGCTAAACTATAAAATTTCACTCTGAGGAAAAACTTTTAAGAAAGCCTTGTTGGATGATGGATGATGAGCTCCTTCAATCTAAGAATGGATGAGAAACTAATTGTAAGCATTACTACTGCTAAGCACACTTCCTACATTGATGCCGTGTTATCAGATCTAGAAACCTTCTGTGAAAGGTTGACACAGAGGTCCATCAGATGTACCGATGAATATTTTCATCAAATCTTGATTTTGCCACCATGAGAAGTACGCAAGACATGTTACGCAGAAAGATGATTACTTCATTGCTGCCAATAAGGTACTGATGACATCACAACCTTCCATCACCCTTATCTCTGAACGGATGTGATATGCAAATTTATTGCTCTGCAGGTGCGGAATTACTGTAGTTGCCATTCTAAGATAAATGTTAATACTCACTAGTGAAATCCATACTCGCTCCGAAATGCAGGGGCGAAGTGGAGCTTAAAATATCAACATATGGAGCCTTCAGGTATCACATGCTGGACGGAGTGGAAACTTAAGAAACCATGACTCTCAAAAGTGACATAAATTCTGCTGTTGTTTCGCTTTGATGAGAGAAATTCTTTCTATCTTGACGAAGAGAATAGTGTACATACACTCAATGGCATCCCTGAGACTGGATCAGCAGTTTTTAATGCAGGTCATCTACTATTGACTGCAGACGTGATGATAATAAAGCTTGCATCTGCTAATCCAGAAATGAAGTACCAATGGTATTGTTTTGATGTGATATTTTGTATTTTGTTCCGAATGTCTCTTCCCTTGTCTCGATGCTTCCCATATTTATCTTTCTACTTGAAGGTATTCGAGGAGTCTGCATCGATGACTCCTTGAACATGCAGCAAGAATCATCTACATGCCAGCATATTAGTTTAAGTAAGAATTTCCACTAAAGCAACCTCCACCGGCTCACGGCCGGCCATTCATACGAACACCGGCTGGACAACCTGCTCAGTTAGGAGGTTGGAGTGGTAGCTTCTTTCTCATCGATGCACGCAACGGATCAGTCTTAGAAGGATGGTGTTGATTACAGAGTGACTGGAAAAGAATTTCTCTAGAGTCTGAGTATTCGATGTGACTGATCTACACTTCAGACAAAGTATTATGATGGTCGCTTTGTCGTAAGTTGTCCATAGCCCATGTCGATTCAAAGCCGATCCACACGAGTGGATTCTTCTCAGGATCTTGGTTCCTACTGGCAATCCCTCTCATTCTCATCATTCACGGTGAATATAAATAAGCACTTTGAAGACCGCTGGCCTCCTCCTCGCTTCAAACTCAGATGTAATAATCTTCCTCAGTGGCCTGCGACACGCAGAAGAACATCGTCTGGAGATTTATCCGCTTTCACGTAAAAGCATCACTTCTGCTACTTTCTATTCAAAGCATTTTCAAACTGGCGGATGCTTTGGCTGGGTTGTGTTGATTTTACGTTTTAATGTGGAATAACTGCAGCAGGGACACGAAGTCTATTACAGCTGTCTCTCAAGATCCGCGATTACACACATGTCATTGGGAAGTTGATGAACGATCAAAAGAAGCGGTTGCGCACCAATGCGAAATTCCGAGCTTTGGCTTCCCTCGGCTCCTCCCTGAGACTTGTGAGGGACATGCCATGAAGACAAGAGACCAAACCGTCATGGAAAGATGCAACCAAAAAACCATCAGTAAATTACTCATGGAATATCTCTCTGAATTCCTCGCTTGACGTCCAAGGTTTCATTGAAGATTTTCTGCATCAAGCTGTGAATAATTCCATGATAAGTGCAACCCAGCCACCCAGAAAAGTGTTCTAGAGGAGTATCCCAAACGAAACAAAGATGTACGCCGATTACTTGATTACTTGTAATGAGCCAGTTTAGCATTTTAGAAAACGGTGCTTTTCTAGTCTACGTTAAGTCAAACTAAATGTTGGATATCTGCATTGTAGGACCACATCCAGTGTTCAAGTTGTTGACTTTCCTAACCTGGCACTCGCAACACTCGTCATGAATTCAAGCATCGCAGATCTCTTCGGTCAGATTGTTTGGCCTGTGATTGGAAAGACATTGCAGTTTTACGTTGAGGATGGTGCAGAGTTTGTGAGAAAGAGGTAAAGAAGTAAGAATCGGAATGAGTTCTTAGATATGTGACTGCAGCTAGCTAGATTTGTTGCGCCCAATCTGTCGTCTCTGCTGATTTTCGTCTGAACTGGGTGCTCGGTACAATTTGTGAAACAATCAGAACAATTTATCTGCTTTTTCTTGAACTGCTGTCAGGAGTGACAGATTATGTGATTCAAAAGCAGCGTAATTGTCTGCTGTAAACTCTATGCGAATGGGAGTTAATTACAAAAGGATTGATCTAGAGTCTGCAGTAGAAGAGGTCCACAAATTCTTACATGTGCGCACGCTGAGATCAGGTACGGGAAAGTCTTCCTTAGTACACAATTTGAGACATTTCGCTCACTGAAGCTAGGGAATTCTAGGCAATTCTTTTTAATCGTCGTGCCTGGCAAGGCAGTGACGACTAGCAGAAAGGGCAGCAGACCTGTTTCTGGTGGCAAGATTGATGATGTGGTGAGGTTTGAACTGGTGAACAGTCTGTCATCTAAGCACCACGAACTCATTATGCTTTTTCTGTATTCAGGTTCATTCATTTTAAGTGTGCAAATTTAACAAAATTATCCGATCCAACTGGACTCACAGAAAGTCAAAACAAGAAAATGTGTGAAATTATTCGAGAGACGTTTTAAGTCTCCACTATAGCACTTGGAGTAAATCTCTTCTTCAGCACTGCCCACTTCAGTATGTTGCAGGAGGTCATCGACCACCACTTACTGCAGCATTGCGCTATCCTTAAACCCTTCCCGGTAGAAGATCTAGGAAGCCACTCCAGGTTAAAGGAGGTATTGTTCAGGCGAAGATTATGTTGTGAACTTCTGGCTGGGAATTGCAACTGCAGCCGAATTGGAGCAGGGAAGAAATGTGTCCTGAATCCATGTTGTCTTCAAATTTTCTAAAGTATATGGCCTGCCCAAGGGAAGAAATGTGTCCTGAGTCCATGTTTTCTTCAAATTTTCTAAACTAACTTTTACTAGTAGATGGCCTGCCCAAGTAAAATACTATCTGATGCCAAGCTGTCTTCCCAATTTCCATTCCGCCTTCCTTTTTCGAATCGAAATCACCATAATGAGACAAAGGCGTCGGAAATGATTTAGACGGAGGAACAAATCCATCGTTTTTGTGACTGGGTGTTATTGACTTTTTGGCTACTCTACTACAAGGATAGTCCAGGGAGCGAACTGATACCGAACATGGTCGGGAAAATACGGCTCATGGGGCAATTCAAAACTGTGACGATGGTCCGCAGACGTATGGAAAATACGATTCATGTACCATTCTAAACCGTGGCAATCTTCTTCATAGTGTTTATGAAAACAGGTCCTCCGACTCGTGCAGATTGCGCCCGGCCAGCTAGAGTTGTATATGAGTTAGCACCACTTTGAAAACAACTGTATAAAGTGAATTCAGCTGCTGGACTATGACTCGTTCCTGGATTTTTTTCCATTGCCGGGCATCTCCGAGCACCATGTGACGCAAGGTGGTAGAGTTATCTGTACACTGAATAGAGTCACAAGGCCTGCGAAATTCGTTCGCATGCCGTATGGACTCTGGGAGCAATCCGAGAGGATGCAACAGAGCAACATGCGTCCTGGTCGTGGAGACATCAGGGAGCGGACACGAAGGGGCCTCCGTGAGCTCCTCGGCTGGATTCTCTTCTTCCTCCGCTGCCTTCTGTACTGGCACCTCCACGGCCTCTTTCAGGTCAGTTTCTGCGATTGAAATACTGCTCAGGGCGTTGGAAGCGCCATTCCGTGACGAATTCGCCTGCACGGAACCTCTAGAGCGAGAGATCTTCAGCTGTGCAGATTCATGTGATGAAGGCATGCATAATGCAGGAGAGCCATGGGTAACGCGAACGAGCGAAACGAGCAGGATGCTATGCCTGAAACGGGAACTGCTTTCGAGGACCATGTACGACGTGAAGCTAACGCCACACCGCCGCAGCTGCTGCCCACGAGCTAGGCAGCCATCGTTATTTCTCCAAATGCTTCGCTCCGTGATTGAATCCAGCGTCTGCCTCCAAGCTGGTGATGACCATCTCGATCTCGCCCTTCCAAAAAGAAGTATTACTGTTTACACGTTATATCGTTACGGAATCTTATCGAACAAAAATGCGCCTCGGGGATGGAAAATATGAAACAGTCAATTGAAGTGTACAGGATCCCGCAGATCAGGTCGAATTAAGAAGGGGGCAGCCGAATATTGTGAGCATTGGTCGTGACATTCGAAAAGTACTCATTCGACTCCCGGACGCAGCGAATCTCTCGAGCCACAGCCAATCGAAGCACGTCGTAGAATCGCCTCAGGAAGCCAGGCCAGTAGGGTTGGAGGCACAGCATCAAAGGGCATGCACCAGCGCGAGTGCATGCTTCGTTTGCATTCTTCCATACGTATATCTAGAATATTTCAACAATTTTATTTCTAAGAATGTTTTATTTTTCGTATGAGTACATCTCTGAATACGCTAAATGTATATAGTGTAATACGGGTATGGCCTGCCTCAAAATATTTTCCTGTGACTCCAATCCTATAGGCCAGGCACGGATACTCGGCGTCGACTGCGTTCGAGAAATTCTCTTGTTTTGCTCGCTGGTGTGTGGATCAAAGGATCCCTCCCGTCATCCTCCCGAAACTCCGAGCCCGCATTCCCCGCCGACTACAGTTGGCAGCCTGGGGACGAGGGCGACGTGGAGGTTCGCTGGGGACCCTAGTATCCTTCGCGAAGGAGGCCGCTGGTACTGGAGCGAGTAATTGAAAGCACAGCAAAATATTTTGAGTCATGCCCATGTTCAGTTTCAAGGT